CCTGCCCCTTTACTTACCTACTTATTACGTTACTAGGTATGTTAATATTATTTTATATAGCAACACTTCAAATTCTAACAGCTGTATATAAATAAAAACGAATCACAAAAGTCGAAGACCGCTGGACCAATACAAGTATTTTTCTTTAATGTATTCCTTGAATTCCGACGAAGGTTTTTAAGGAGGGAAAAATTGGAAAAAACATTTTTAGTAATTATATTTTTATTCTGGAAGAGCGAATAGAGTCTATGGGGTATAGCAAAATATTCCATTTGTTGGTGAACATATGGAACACCTCTATGACTTTTTAAATTTTGAGATTTATTCTTTTCAATGGATCAAAATTTACTCTATCGTTATTTCGTATGCAGATGAAAAAGGATCGTTTAAATTTTGATTATACTAATGTAAATAAAACCCTTCATAACTTGGTGTGTTAAAGAATAGAGCTTTTTATAATTACATATTAAAAAGTTTAGGAGTCCTACATTATGTGTTTGAGGTTAGTCTTTCTAATCGAATTCCCAGATCGATTGACGATAAAAATTGCGGTTTTAGCGGTAATGTTGGATCAATTGAATAGGTAATACAATGGTCAACGAGCGTAAAACCAATAAACGTGACTTCTACTCCCGAATATTGTGTGAACTAGGTCCCTGGTCCCTGCTCCCAAGTCTCGTGAGAATGTGGTTTGCGGGATTTTCCTACTCAATTTTTTTTATTTATTTATTATCCATTTAAAAGCTTATTGAAAATCCACAGCTTTTTTTGAAGATAATATTTACAGTTTTATATTAAAAAATATATCTAAGTGAAACGGATTACATAATAAGTAATAATAGGATAAGACAATTTAGTAATCATTTATTGGTTGAGGTGTGTGTGTGTGGGTATGTGAAATGTGTAAGTGTGTGAGTCTACGAGTTAATGTGATTTTAAAAATCCATTCGATGTGCTTATCTCCTTCGAAAAGATGCGTTTGGAGATAATTTGGAATAAATTGAGGCTCGCGTACTTCTTATTATATAGATTTAAAATACTTACGTAAAAGTGTATGAAACAGCTCAGTATGAAGTTTGATGATGGGATACCTACATTCTAAGTAATTCGGTGCAATTAAATATGATTGTTCCAAAACCTATGTAGACACATTAAGTCTGTTCTCTTACGTCCAAGTTGATGGTTCAATTTGTATTGACATGAAATAAATGTACTCAATAAAATCAGATTTTGGTTATATGGAGCTTAAAAAACCTAGTATTATTTACATTGTTAAATATTTCCTACGTGGGTTGAAAATTCTTGCTAAATAGATATTGACATTTAACATAGTTCCTAGAATAATCAGCACATACATTAAAACTGTTTGAATAAATATTGGAAGTACAAGCTATTAAACAAACAGAAAATCGATTATAAATTATGTCAATATGACGGATTTGCTAATTATACACGTATCTACAACGAGGATTATGACTGCGTAGCGTTGTATATAGCCAGTTTGCATAAAAAAGAAAAGTTTTTTTGTATATTTTATGTACTGGTATTAAAAAAACCATTTTATGACTTTATGGCTAAAAAAAGAAAGCAGTTCATTCAACAAATATATGACACATTTCTGTGGTGAAAAAAAAGTTGCTAATGTCAAATCTTGTTTGAATTTCGAACACTAACTCTGTACAATATTTGTATCAAATCTGTCACCAAAAAAACCGGATACTTATCCCCAATTAAGAAGCTCAGAGAATGGTTACGGGCCATTGTGCCGGCATGTCTGTCTGTCTGTCTACAAACGGCGGTAATCGCCCGTGATGGGAGTCGAACCGTTCACTCGCGACGCCGCTTTTAATGTGAACCGCTTCATTTTGAAAAAAATACAGACTGAATAATGTGTGTGTTAATTTTGGATAATGACTCCACGTTTGTTTGTTTTGAGACAGCTTACAGATGGATAAAACTATTTCATTTCATATTTTATGTAGCGTAACTATATCATTATATTTGTAAAAAAATATATGAAATTTGTCATTATTGCATGCACTTCTAAAATCTTCTTCACTGTGAAAAATTAACAACTAATTAAAACATTATAAAACCTCTTCGCTACACGTAACTTTTTAATTCAATATACAACACTATCAATTTACTGTTTAGTTGTCGCTGACAACCATCGACACGTCGTACAAAAGAATTCAAAAAAGGAATCGAAAAGAACCATAGATTCAAAATAGCTCCACGTAGCACATAAAAAATCTATTTCTAGATCGGTCCGTGACCGTCGAACGATTTTCTACCAATCAACCGATCAATCAAGTGAACGATGAATGAAACACACGTCACTTGATTTTGCCACGCTTTTTTCGCTAACGAGTCTAGAATTTAGTTGATTTAATTGATATTTTCACCGTTGGTAAACTAACTGATTGAAAACTATTATATAATCAATATATATTCACTATTGCGCATACCATCTAACGTACCTTTTGTTAGTAGTAGTCTTGTTAAGTGTTTTATGAACGAAGGGTCAACTTGAGAGGCGTAATTGAATATCCTGTCTTGTTACAGACCCATTTAGGTGGAAAACAAATGAGTCTCAGCACTCACACGACTTCAACATATACTCGTATAGTACTTTAGTCCAAAGTTATTTATTTCGTTACTTATAATACGTATCTTCGACTAATCTGTGACTGAATTGCTTTCATCGTATTTGGGAACACTTAATTAGGGTAACATAGATAATATAATGAATCCAATCTACGACAATATAGTCTATAGAAAGCGTTCATCTTGTTATCAGGCACTAAAACATTATCCGAGTCTATGACACTGCAATAAAGCGCCCGCACGGCTAAAATGTAACTCGTCTGTCATAAAATGTATCATAAAAATACGCTCAGCTATCTACATTTTAACGAGCACACAATGACATACGGGCATTCCGTTCGAAGTATTAAAAAATTAATCAGTGCCAACATTGTATCACCCGTTCTTCATTTCGTGAAAGTTCAATGCGAGTTTCTTATCTATATTTTGTCTATTGATGAAAAGTGTATGAAAATCTGATGAATTGTTTAAAAGAAGGAAGAAATAATTTTTTTGCATTTGAATATTTATTGATTTATTGTTTGTATTTTGGTGGAAACACAAACTAGACATAGGTTTTCTGTCCAACAGGACGTCAAACAAATACTATTATAATTATTACTAAAGGTATAGCGTAATAAGTCGGTACATTATTATTAAGCTCATCAAAACATTGATGAATTATAGGTAGCCGATGCAAGCAACCTCTTTTAAAGAGTATACATATAAATCTTCCTTTTAAACCCTGCCTATTTATGAAAGCTCGAATATTACTTTATATAAAGAACAATTGATGAAATATTAAGCATGTTTCCTCGTGTTATTCAGATCAATGGTATGTCAGCGGTGAACCGCACATATTAATAAAACTTAACGTTGTCGTTAAGTTAAACTGCCTATCCTTTGTATGATACAGAGGTGCTAATGTATAATTTCTTTGAAACGTATTTACAACTTAGCGGCTAAGTATCCGCGATGCGTCATTAAAAAAAATATTCAATGCTTGCAATTCGCTCATACAAAAGTTATGGAAGACATATTATAATTATATCTTTACTTTTCAAAATAAAACTGATTTTACTAATAAATGTATATATAATGTTTTCATACATCGGTCGACCGCTGGTTATATTATTTCTTAAATATATTTTATTATAGAGTTTAAAGGTTAGCCAATAAAACATTCACAACCCACAAGGTGTTATTTTTTATTCTAACATCGTTTGATGCAACCTTTCAAAACACATTAGGCAGAATTCCATTGAGTCACCGTCACGTCCAATTTCAAAGAAATCGAAATAAAGAGAACAATTTATATAAAATCGCGTCGAATCGCTGCGCGGGCAATTCACGTATTAATCACGGCCTAATCGCATCCTTAACTAATGCGAACCTCAATTAGGACTGAATAAAACACCCAAACTGCCAAAAAGGTAAAATTCAAAGACATCGTTAGGATTTGTGATGTAAAAAATTCTTAATCTGTCATGGTGTGCAGTCTGCACCTGACGCAATGACACAATTCGCGCCAATTTGATTGTGTAGTCGTTGGATGTCACTAAGTTTCAATTACATTCGTATTTTAAATTTCGAACTAAAGGATAACACAGATAGCGTTTATTAGTGTAAAGAATGTGAAGTCTACGTAATTCAGGTATTTAGTGAGTTAACAGTTTCCCATCTGTATCACGATTATTTAAATGAAACAAAATACCATCACGTTTTGTTCTTGCAACCGTGGTAAAAGCCGGTGTAAAAGTTTTTGTCTAACTGATTAAACGATTTACGTTTTATACGGTTCAAAAGTTCAAAATATTGTTCCTTTATTGGATTATAAGTTAACCCCAAATACCCTCAAACATTATACATCCAAATACCCTCAAACATTCACACACCTCAACCAATCAATTATTAGTAAATTGTCTTGGCACCTAAGTACATAATCTTCGTCGTATATTATGGTGTAATCCGTTTTGGAAAAATTTTTGATTTAAAAATTGTAAATGTTATCGTAATTAAAAAGCTGTGGATTATTAATAAACTGTCAAATAAAATTAATAAAATGTTTGATTAAAAATATATAATAATACCTTTGCATTTAGCATAATAAAAACTTCTTGTTGATACTTAGCTACTAATTTTCAACGGTTTATAATAGTCTGTAATTAAAAAATGTTTCTAAAATGTGCTCCTAGCTCAATTGTCGAACAGCGTGTAATCAATATGGCATCTCGTTACTAGCTAGGGCTGTATAATCAATAAAGTTGGGAGCTCGATAATCGATACGCACGGACGTAGTATCGACAATTTCGTGACGCTCTTTCAAAATGTTGACTTTTTATTTCAATTAACTTCATACCTCGTTACTTTTTTTCCTTAAATACGTAGAACTATGTTGTTACGGACTTGTGGGCATGGCTGCTACAAGATTTTCAAAGGTTAGCTTTGATAGATGGTTATACAGTTTAAATAACGTAATATTTATGTTCCGTCTTATTGATGTTTTTATAAGGAAACAAATCTACTTTCTTGAAAATCTCAATAGATGGGTGTGTAATCTTCATTCTTCTCTTGTTTCAGATGGTCAGTCAAATCACCTGAACCTCTTCAACTCGCGGCCTCAGCCGAAAAAGAAACGAAAGTCCAGAACGGCTTTCACAAACCATCAGATCTTTGAGCTGGAGAAGCGGTTTCTATATCAAAAATACTTATCCCCAGCCGACCGAGATGAGATAGCCAGCTCTCTCGGTCTGTCCAACGCCCAAGTGATCACCTGGTTCCAAAACAGACGAGCGAAGTTGAAACGAGACATGGAGGAGCTGAAAAAAGACGTAGAAAGCGCTAAAGTCCTCTCAGCTCACAAGAGTTTCCTCGAGAATGTCACAGACTTGGGCATTTTAAAGAAGAAAGCTATGAGCATAGGGGCCAGTGAAGAGGCGGCGACGAATTTAGTTGTGAATGCGTCCAAATGAAACGAGGCGGCGCGTTCTATCGCGCCAGACGTCTATGACAGGCGTTTACTCGATTATTAAAAATCGAATCGAACTATTTAATTGTCGATAGAACTTTATCGAATGTGCTTCGAAATAGTGTTTTTATTCAATATGTATATAATTAGACGCTGTACAAATGAGTATAAATGTGATTTATTTAAGTACTTAATAGAGATACTTAATTTATTTATTAAATCTGGCATTAAGGTCGTCGCAATACAACAATATAATATATTTTAATTTATTAACAGTTTTCAATTTTAAATCAATGATATCCCATATACGAAACTACCAATTACTTGTCGAAGGTTTTAAAGGTCTTTTTCAACAAATCAACTGCGTCAACAGTGCTCCTTACCGTACATACAATATAATCATGTTGTAGAACATTTGTATTATAAAAACATTCCTTGCTTCAAAATATTACTCCAGAAGCTCATTAAGGTTGGTATTCTGAAACCTAGGTTTCAACTTAAATCGGTTAAAAGCTATCAAATCGAAATTGATTTAATCACACTGGTACCATTTATGATCTTCAATATTTAAAGAATAGATAAGAGATAAAACTAAGATTTCAATATACAAAAAAAAACAATTTTTTTTTGATAGTCGCGGTTTCTTTATAAATCCTGGAAAAGGTGAAATTATCGAATGTGTTCGTAAATTATTATTGAATATTTGGATCGCTCGTGTATAATGAGCATGCGCATGGTATTTCTATTATGAATTTTGGGATATTATTGTTACCATACGTGCAATAAAATTTGTCTTTCATGCCAGATATTAACCCTATTGTAAATATTATAGTGTACAGATTCCTAGTTTTAAGTTAGCTTTGTGGATCACTTCAAAATTCATTTATGTTTAAACTATTAACACAAACTATAACAGAAATTCATCTTAGTAAATTTTATAAAATTATTAAAATATATGCAGTATTATAATTTCAGCTCTATATTGTTATTTTATGAATACAAGATGGATGTTAATATATTGTAGTACCAAAATATGTTAAAAATTTAGTTGAAATTTAATTTTGAAGTGAAACAACATTATTTTATTAATGTGAATGTAAATTTTCTTTATGTCGGTAAACTTAGTTTATTGTTATGAATAAATAGTAGGAACACTTCATTTAATTTCTCAATATTAATTGTTTTACTGTAATAATATATTAGAAACATTAATGCAATATATATAATTTGTCAAATACTTGTCATCGTTAACATACAACAAAAAGTGCTTCATACATTCATAGTGCAATTATGAAATTGTAATCGATATTTTTACTATCTGTAATATTTCTTTCTCTATGACATTAGAAGTGTAGTGTATTAAATGTAAAAAGGTGTTAATATTGTAAAGTTGTAGCGAAATATTAAATTAGCATTAACCCTCATAAGCGTAAATCTGTCAACTGTCAACACATTTGACACTTGACGGCTTCAATCGCTCAGTTTATGATTAGGGACGCGTTTATCTGTCTAATTGAAGAATCGATATAGAGAAATAAATGTGTCAAGAGTTTCGACGTGTCTCTTGAATTTAACTATTCCTAGGTCTTGACATATGTGTTTTAATCTCGTTCCTACTATACTTATTACTTAGCTACAGCTATGTGCTATGCTGTCGTAAATTGTTCTTTGTAAATAATAAAATTTATGTGTTCTCAACTATTTGTTTTTTTAACTACTGGTTTAATGCATCAATTCAAAATGGGCCAAGGATTTCATTGCTGGATCTAAAACGTATTTTCAGTCAGAGATATCTAATAATTATTTTTGATTAAAAGATAATTAAAACTGGTAGCTCATTATATAAATGAGTCATATATTTCGGTATACATACAAAACGAAATGTCTTAGGAACGACACTAGGGGGAAATGGTGTTCAGGTTTGGATTACACGACAGTTTATTAAATACAAATTGAAGGTTCGAATCCAATTTAAAAACTTCTTTAGCTTCGAGGGCAACTTACCTATGAATAAAAATGATATTGTTGAATGCGCCTGTCACGCTAAAAACACGACGAACCAAAAACTTTTCACTGTTTCCTGAAAAAACTGTTTTATTTGTAGGTACTGTCTCTCCTTATTCTACTCCCGTATGTCAGAATCTGAGACGTGTATGACATACTTTGGGCAATTCTCAATTCTGAAAATCCTTAGGCTTATAATTAAGTTATTCCTAGGTATACACATTTCAAAACACTCTGAAACTCTAAAATGATAAAGTTAAGTTTTAAAAAATTCTTAAGAAAACCATGATATCTTAAACATTTTATGGATTTTGTAGTGTAATGCTGGTAGAAATGTCGCTCATACAAGTTTATTTACGATGGGTAAAACCGAGTGTAATGCATAATACCGTATACAGCTTTGTTCAAAGGAAATATATTACAGAAGCAATCTTTTAAAATTTACAAGTTAGTTAGTACTAATAAAGAAGAAACATTAGTACAGACAACAAATTACTCAAATAAAGTGAAACTCTCTTTGACAAGAGACTTAAGTTAAAATGGTGTAATTGAACTGAATAAGCAACACAATTTTTTTTATTATTATTTAATTATTAACGCTATCGTAGTTATTGTACTTTAAATAATAATAGAATGCTTACAACGCCAGCAAAGCACTCGCCAGCCCTCTGGCATTCAGAGTGTCCACATATCACTTAACATCAGGTGAATTTTCTGCCCTTTTGTCCCCTGACCTATAAAAACGTCTCCTAATCTTAACAGAATACTACGCCGACACCAAATAGTAACATATAATATTAGTACAAATAAAATAATCATTTAAAATATATTAAGCAGTGCTACAACAATGAGAAACGCAACTTAACACTTATGAACAAGCCTCAGTCCAGCCTAAATCTATATATATAAAAGAAAAATGGTCTTCGTTTGAGGCTCCTTCACGCCTAAACCACTTCGTATCGACATGAAACTACCACCATTCGATGCGAAATTTTTCCTAGATGGTTTATGGCTATTTATTTATTAAATTCCAACGTTCCTTCATTTTTTTATTGCTGTTTTACTTTTATGAAAATTTATCCATACGGACTTCACCGCGGAAACATTCGGGGAGGCTTCCTAGAACCTCTAAACGTCAACATCTGTTAAAAACTCGATTTTCGAAATATTTCAATTTTCTTAGCGGGAAGTTAAAAAGAAGAATAATAAAAATATGAAAAAAAATAAAATAATGAAACAAAATTTATTTTAATTCGTCCAGCAAAGCGGGCGCGAAACGGCTAGTGTTACATAAGTCCAAATCTTATACCCATTTGATAGATAAGAATGTCAGTTCCTACTTAAACTAGCCAAACTTACTTTTATTATATAGAAATACAGATAGTCGGGAGGCTCATCTGATGTTAAGTGATACCGCTGCCGCCCATGGACACACTCAATCCAAGAGGTGTCGCAATTGCGTTGCCGGCCTTTTAGGAATTCAAACGCTCTTTTCTTGAAGGACCCATTGTCGATCTAGTTCGGAAATCCTTCAGTGGGCAGTTGGTTGCACATAGATATGGTGCGTGACAAAAATTGCCTTAAAAACGCTCAGTTGTGGAACGACGAACATCGAGACTAAACCCTAATATTAGGTATTCCTAATATTCCTAATCCTTCGAAACTAGGATTCCCTGCTTTGTGGGCAGCTAGGCTCTTCAATCCAGCTCTTGGATTAAATTCTACATAACACTAACTATAACTTTACTCCAACACAAGAAGTATAGTTTCAGTTTGGGCATAAGACAAGTTAAGAATTAGATGATTGTTGGTGAATGTTTAAAGTTTTGAATTGAGAGTAAACTCTGAAAGAGAACAAGCGTTGTGCGTTTTTTCGTGTTCATTATTATTACAATATGGAATGGGGTGTTAAAGAAAATAGGATTGCAGTGATCGCCTTGCACAAAGTGGGTATGGAGCCGTCGGTCATAAGACCAGACACTTCAAAAGCTTGGTATCAGCCGTATATTTTATTATATATTATACTTCGTCTGTCGAAGACCGAAAAGATCGGAACGGCCGCGTGCTGTTTTTGAGCCAGAATTCGTCGAATCCCCATTAGGAAGCAAACATTAAGATTCCCGCTAGTACCCTGTCGCGTATTATGAAACATGACCTGAAGCTCGTTGGTTTCATCGATATACAGGACATGCCCTAAATCAATCTTTACAATCATTCTTTACAAAAACAATCTCGCGATACGCAGGTGAAAAGCACAAAAATCTCCTCTTTACCGATGAAAAAATTTTACCATTGAAGAACTCTACAACAAACAAAATAATAAAGTGTACGCTCACAGTTCTAAAGAAGCTGCACAAGGGCTCGGAAAGGTACAACGTGGTCATCATCCTGCGTCTGTGATGGTTTGGTGGGGCGTGGTTATCAAGGAGTCACAAAACTACATTTTTGTGAAAAAGGCGTGAAAACTTCAGTCAAAACCTCTCCAATACATTTTTAAAAAATATACCGTGGACTTTGATCTGATCACAAGGCACGAACTACCCAAGAATGGCTTGAAACTAACATTCCGTACTTTATAAGAGCTGAAGACTGGCCCTCATCTAGCTCAGACCTCACCCCTTTAGACTTCAAGTTATGGTCAGTTTTAGAGGACGTGGCCTGCTCTACTCACGGAGACATTGAGTCTTTGAAAAAAAAATTTGGAGCAAGCAGTGGCAACATTTCCCTTGGAAACAGTGCGTAAATCGATAGAATCGTTGCCAAACCGATTAAAGGGCTGTATAAAAGCCACCGGTGGCCATTTCGAATAGATTTTTTTTTATTTTTTGCTGAGGCTTTAATAAATATATAGGTATAAATTTTAATAATATTACATTCATATTCATTTGTAACAAAACTTATGGCTGGACTAGGAATAGTCTACGATTAATTAAGTGCAGTGTTATAAGATATTTGTAAAATCGATTCGTTACATTGATACTTTCATAATTCGTGTATTCG